TGTGTGTGTATGTGTTTGTGTATGTGTGTGTGTATGTGTATGTGTGTGTGTATGCGTTTGTGTATGTATGCGTGTGTGTGTGTGTATGTGTGTCTGTATGCGTGTGTGTGTATGTATGCCTGTGTGTGCGTACGTGCCTGTGTGTGTGTGTGTGCGTGTTTCTTGTGTAAGCTGAAAGACGCGAAAAATTATTGAAATATCTATTGCTCCAAGGGTTCAGGGGATCTCGTAGTCGAGCAGTCTCGACTAGAGCTTTCTTACTTGTTTTATATGCATATGCATGTCCTTGGAATATATATATACATATATAAACTTCCACACTTAAAATTTTCCTCAGTATAAAATTAACAGCTAAAACATTGCCAATTTGTATGACCTTAGTTTGGAAGTAAAAGACAATATCAAATTGTTTCTGTCAAAGACTCGGCTCAAATGAGTTTGGTATTGGCACCACCTTTGGGACTACTACTGGAACTCTGCGAATTTTTCTTTTTATTCACATACCATTTCTTTTTAGCAGGCTGTTTTGCATGCACTGGTTGCTCGGCGCCTTTATTTATCTGCATTTGCCCCATCCTTTGCGATAAGTTTGCCACGCCCATTTTCGAAAGACGCTCACTTTCTCGTTCCCTCCAGTGAATGTACAAATGGCGCTTGAGCTGGCCAAAGTTCTCAGTATAAAAGCTGCACTGATTGCAATGTACGGGCGTGGCATGGAGAAGTTGTTCCACCTGCTCGGCGGGCATCGGCTCAACCGAGCCCTTCACGTAAAGCAGCGCGTATATAGCTTGAAACGTTATAAACAAATCGGAGTTGAAGGTGTTCCAGTGCTGAATGCGACGCATCGAGCTTGAATAGAAATCTTTCGAGATGACATGCATGTTGAGACGATTCATAAACGCATCAATTTTAAATCCAATCCGAAAATCATTCGGTGACAGTTGCTGCTGCTTAATAACATCATTCGCCAGATCCATCATGTGGTCCAGCAGCGGCAGATGCTCGCGCTTCAGCTAAAAATATACTTTTGCATATACATACATACATACATACATATGCACTTATTATTAAGTTTTACACACCGCTAACACATTGGCGATCTCCTCTTTGGGCAGCACGACAAAATGATATTGCGCCTTGGGGCACGTCACGTTGCGGAGCACCGCTGCGCGCTCGCTCTGAATAACAACATTCTCGCCAGCGCTCAGTTTGCGAGTTAATTCACCACGTAAAAATTCCACATCAGTCTCACTCTCCGCCATGGCCTTTGAGATTTGATGTGATTTACCTGAATAGTCCAGCCGATGAGAAGGTAAACAACAAAGCTGCAGCTGAACTGTTGGAATTGGTACATCTGATTTTAAACACTATGGTTAGTGTTTTAAATAAGCTTCAACAGTGTTGAGCAAATCTGGGAATATGAAAAGCGAAACAGAAAATACTGCGAATGTTTCAATCTCATCACAACGTCGCAAATGCATTCGCAATTCTGTGCAATTTACCAGGTGTGACGTCACAATCCTACGGGCTTAGAAACTAACCTTCACTCTCAACATAATTGTTCGATTCCATTCCATGGATGACGTGGCCTTGCATACCTCTGTGGCTGATAAGATTGTTGCAAGCGTGCAAATTTGGTTTCATAAAGAATACAAATTCCTGATCGTAACTTATCAAGACTTATATGAATATATTCATTTTGAATATGCATATGTATTTATTTTTGTTTTTAATAAATTATAACATTTTGAATGAATTTTTGGATAATCTATATTGCATATAAATCCTCAGGACTTCTGAGAGTTTTCAGTTTGTTTGGTGTCATATTGTTTTTTAAATTGGCTTTTCTGCGCGTATTTTCCCTGATTTTGATTCTGAGCATTGGGAGCAGATGATTGTTTTGCATTAGACAGTGGATTCATATTTATATTCACATTACCGAGAGGGTGATTTGCTCCAATATTATTCAATCCAGGACCCTGCACATTGGACCCATTGAGGGCCCGAGGTCCGTTGGGCCCATTATTGGCCCGAGGTCCGTGTGGCCCATTGAAGGCCCGAGGTTCGTGTGGCCCATTGAAGGCACGAGGTCCGTTGGGCCCATTGTTGGCCCGAGGTCCGTTGGGCCCATTGTTGGCCCGAGGTCCGTGTTGCCCAGTGAAGGCCCCTTGATTGAATTGTCGAAATTTTGACTGACTATAAGGCGACTTCTGAACATTTTTATCAAAGTGGTTGGCATGTTGACCTTTATTTATCTCCGCCACTTGGTTGCTCATATTTTGGCGCCAGCTCGATGGGTTTCGATTTATTGCAGGCTTTTCGCATTTGAAGGGATTGGTTGGCAAGGTTGGATCATGATTGTTTGACTCCACTGCTTGATTTGACTTTGACTGATTTGATGATACGGGTGCTTTGTCTAGAGCTATCTTGGGTGGAGTTGTCAATTTTGCATCGTCTAGCATGCGAGTTATCTTTTCCACTTGCAGCTTTATTTGGAGCTTATCTTCTCGATTTTTCCAATGCTTAAACAGGTGTCCTTTCAATCCAAGCAAAAGATTTGTTTCGAAATCGCACTGATTACAGCGCAGGGGCAGTGCTTTACGCAATTCGTCTGCTTTTTCAGCTGGCATGGGTTCTATGCTGCCCTGAATACGAATAAGAGCATAAACTGCCTGATACGTTAAGAACAATTCTGTATTGAAACTGTTCCAATGGCTTACTCGACGCATGCACTCCGAATAGAAATCATTCGATATGATATGCATATTCAAGCCGTTCATAAATGCATCAATTTTGAAGCCAATCAAAAAGTTGCTGGACGGCACATATTGATGCTGTTCAATGATTTGATTTGCCAGTTCCTTCATATGATCCAAGAGCGGCAGGCTGTCTCGTGTCAGCTGCAATGCGGCACATGCATGAGCACAAATACATAAAACATTGAAATATGTATGTACGTATGTATTAAATGGCTTACCGCAGTCACATTCGGTATATCCTCCTTGGAGACAACTATAAAATGACATTGAGCCTTGGGATAAGCATCTTTGATTACAACCGCTAGATCAGTTTCGATTAGAGGTTTCTCAGTTTTCGCCCTTTGTGTAAAAAGCTTTCTTGCAAATTCCGTGCGATTACTCATTTCGAATCATATGTTTTCTTCTATCTTCTCCTTTATCAAATCAATGATTAAAATCATCGAATATACAGCACTTAGAAATAATTAAAAATTGAACTTACACAAATCTGTATGCATGTGTACGTACATATGACAGTCTGGACTCGAATGAGACGTTTGGAATAGGAACACAATTGCTGGTGAATATTGGAATACAGTGTTGTAAAGAGTTCCACTAACATATGTTTGCTTGACGAAGAATGTACATACATACATACATCCACATGCATGTAAACCTTTTACAATTGCTGAGCTCAGTCAGTGCTGCAGCAGGTGTTCCTTGAGCGAAGGGATGTTCTTGGCAACGAATTCACACTGGTTGCACGCCAATGGCTTTGACAGCAGCTCCTCTACCTTTGCCTTGGGCAAACGTTCTATTTTGTCGTTTTTGCCTAGGTCCTCATAGAGTGCTGTAAATATCAGAGAATGAAGGTATTTTCGTAAACTGATGCTTGTACCAACTAACCTTCGTATGGTATAAATAGCGGCGTATTGAAGCTATTCCAGTGTTTCTTTGTCTTTAACCAACTGGAGACAAAGTCCTTTGATATTACGTGCAAATGCAGCCGTTGCATACTCGGCTGGGCATGAAAGCCAATCCGAAATGACTCAAAGCATTCGCCGCGCACTTCAATTATATTGCGGGCCAGCAGATGAAGTTCCTCCAGTAATGGTAAATGCTTCCTATTCAACTGCAAATTGACAAGAAAAACACGTTTCGGAATCCGGTTTAGCTAACCGCGAGTACTCACCTGAAAAATGCTGGCAATATCCTCCTTGGGAAGCACAAGATAATGATGGCGTGCTTTTGGATATTTGTCCGCAATAACAACTGCAATGTCCGTTGATATAATTAAATTAGCTGGATCTAAAATTGTTTTGATTAGCCCGGTTTGCCAAGACATTTTGAACAGCTGATTCGACCGGCAGTCGGTGGTTATGCAGTGTTGTTAATGTCGAAATTTCTCTGTGTCAGTGCTGCTCAGCGCAGCTGCGAGCTCAGTGATGCGTGCGTCGAACGCGCAGTGCCGGGCGTTGCGAGCGTCAACGTAAGTCTTCCAACGTAGGTTTTCACAATTGGTATTAGATTTATGAAGATTTAACCTATTAATTTTATTTAGAATTATCATCGATGAAAGTGTACAATATATCAACGAATACTTTGTACCACTGTTCTCTGGTCAGTGTTTGTACTCATTAAAAAGTAGTGGCACTATTCAACACTGCGCGCAGATTATATGCAGCCCTGCACGCAGCCCTGCACGCAACCCTGCAAACAACAACAATGAACTACAAGAGCCGAGAAGAATATTATTTGTTTGGCTGCCTAAATGTGCTTGTGTGCAGCGTGGGGGCAAGTAAAAAAGTGCGTACCGCAACATACAAAAACGGCCGCATATTTTTTACGCAACGCATGCGGAATTTGCACAATTACGTGACAGTTTTTAATTGAAAATCATTCAAATTTCATTTGAGGCATCCAGTGCACCGCCAATCTAACGGAAATTTGCATCTGAAAATCGAAAGTCTGCCAATCTAAAGCTGCCCAAAAGATTACGCAAAGAAAATTATAATTGCAGCTAAGGCATCACACAAGCAACATGGCGCAGGCCACCGAAGTGAAACCACGCCTCATGGCCGAACCACTGCACATACAGCGACTCGAGGCGGCATTAAATATGCGCCCCTTCATTGAGATGGCCCGCGAGGCCCTCAAGCAGCCGTTGAGCAGTGGCAGCGGTGAGGGCAGCGCCACTGAGCCGGAGACTGGCCAGGAGCAATGCATTGACTCGGACGAGTCGTCGACCAGGGTGGGCATGGTAAAAATGAAACTCAAGAAGCGACGCCGAGAGCGTCTACTGGGCAGCAAAGAGGGTAAATAGAGTACAAACTGTGAGCAGTATTTTTAATTGATTTTTACTCTTCTTCGTTGACAGAGCGCCAGAGCGTAAAGGCGCAGCTTTATAACTTCAATGATCTAACTAGTGATCGGGAGTGGCTATACGAAATATTACTGAGCGACACAGATAGCGAGCCGCAGGTGAGCGACGAGGATGAATACATTAATCAAATGCTTCGTGAGCATCTGCAGGAGCAACGCCACCGAAAGAATTATTACAAAAAGGCCACAGTGAGTAGTGGAGCAGTTGGTTAATTGGCGCGTATTAAAGAAAATTGCTTGTAGAACGCTCAATACGCTTACTATGGCAGTGGACTGCTGTCCAATCACGACGTTTACGCTGAGCGTCAGCAGGCAACAGCTGGCGTGCGGAAACGTCGACGCCGCACCAAACAAGAGATACTCTTGGCTCGTTTAGCTGAAGCGCAGGCGGGTCCCAAACCGGCCAAGCAGCGTCGACGAGGGCGTAAGAAGCGCACCACATTGGATTCTCCAGAGTCGGGGGAAGTGCACCCGTCCGAGCTCGGCAAGTACAGTTTTGGTGACACGCTGCCTGCCAACGATGAGGATGACGACGACAATGGGGAGGTGGACTACAAGCGCGAACTGGCCAACTTCGCGTTGGATTACCCTGAGGAGGAGGAAGAAATCGAGGAGGAAGTGGACGTAGTGGGCGCTGTGGACGGACAAGTTACGCGTGTGCGTCGCCGTCGCAAGAACCCTGAGGTATTGGCTGCTCGGCGGCGGCGCATCTGGCAGATCATGTCCAAAAAGGAATCCGGACGAGTGCAGCGCATCAGAAGCAACAATCACAAGGAGATGCTGGCCAACTGCAAGCGTGTGGCTGGAATGTGTGCCAAGGTTGTGCGCCAGCGAGCGCTCAACTCGCAGCGCATCATGAAAGAGACCGTTTGGCGGGCGAAGCGTCTAACACGAGAAATGCTCAACTATTGGAAGCGCTATGAGCGCGTGGAGCGCGACCAGCGTCGCAAACAGGAACGAGAGGCCGAGGAGCAGCGCAAACAGGATGTCGAGCTTATCGAAGTGAAGCGGCAACAGCGCAAACTGAACTTCTTAATTACCCAAACGGAGCTGTATGCCCACTTCATGTCCAAGAAACTCGGCCAGGGCTCCGAGGCGGATCAGTTGCGGATACTCAGCCAGTTGGACGAGGAGCACAATGCGCGTCTGGCTACACAAGACGATTACGATGCAGGCGAAATGAAGCAGCTGGCGCAAGCGAATGCAGAGGCTGCAATTCAGCGAGATTTGGACAAGACGCGCGCCTTCGATGTACCCTTCAAGAAGGAGCAAATATTGGAGCAGCTGCAGGAGCTAGATCATCCGCTGCCAGAGAGCGAGCAAATGAAGGATTTGCCACAGCCCAAGATGTTTAAGGGCACACTTAAAGGCTATCAGATCAAGGGCATGACATGGCTGGCTAATATATACAATCAGGGAATCAGTGGCATTTTGGCCGACGAGATGGGTCTGGGCAAGACAGTGCAATCGATAGCATTTCTATGCCACATTGCGGAGCATTATGGTGTGTGGGGTCCGTTTCTGGTCATTTCGCCCGCCTCAACACTGCACAACTGGCAGCAGGAGATGGCACGGTTTGTGCCCGACTTCAACGTGGTGCCCTATTGGGGCTCGCCAAATGAGCGCAAGATATTGCGTCAGTTCTGGGAGCAGAAGCACCTGCACACACGTGAGGCTAGTTTCCATGTGGTGATCACCTCGTACCAGCTTATTGTCAGCGACTACAAATATTTTAATCGGATTAAGTGGCAGTACATGGTTCTGGATGAGGCTCAAGCCATCAAAAGCGCCGCCTCGCAGCGCTGGAAGCTTCTGCTGGGCTTCAATTGCCGCAATCGCCTGCTGCTGAGCGGCACGCCCATACAGAATAGCATGGCTGAGCTGTGGGCGTTGCTGCACTTCATAATGCCCACGTTGTTTGATTCGCATGACGAGTTTAACGAGTGGTTTTCGAAGGACATTGAATCGCACGCCGAAAATAAGACCGGAATTGATGCGCGCCAAATCTCTCGTCTGCATATGATATTGAAACCCTTCATGCTGCGGCGCATCAAAAAAGATGTGGAGAACGAGCTGTCCGATAAGATTGAGATTATGGTCTATTGTCCGCTAACCATACGCCAGAAGCTGTTGTATAGGGCGCTGAAGCAAAAGATTCGCATCGAGGATCTGCTGCACGTGGCCAACGGTGGCTCCACGACCTCTGCGTCCGGCGATGGCTCTATTTTGGATCGGAACTTTACCTCGAACCTTATGAATTTGGTCATGCAGTTCCGCAAAGTCTGCAATCATCCGGAGCTCTTTGAGCGGCGCGATGCAAAGAGTCCCTTCAGCATGCGATGTGCGGAATATGTTCTACCTCGACTAATCTTTCATGATGGACTACTGCACAGTGCCCTACCCAGCCGAAGACACCTGCTATATAATCGGTTAGTTAGCTATTTGGCTTTGAGTTGAATGGAGCTTTGATATATGATACTTGCTCTCTTCCTCGACAGATTCAACATTTTTAAATCGGCCAACGTGCATAGATCCCTGTTCGATGATGTACACGTTGATAGCTGCTTCAGTTTCACCCGTTTGTCGGATCTTTCCTTGTCTGACATGGAGGATGTCACCTGGCATGGCCTCATTGATTTGTAAGCAGTTTATTTCTAATTGTTGCATTACGTATTTAGTTCTGAATTGCTTTACAGCCTGTTGCACTATCGTCGCGTACTGGCCAGGCAACCTTTGCTTGCCTACCGTCGTCAGTGGTGGCCACATCAACGTGCTCCGCGCTATCAACTCCTGGAGCCAACTCTAGAATGCAAGCTTGTGCCGGACTATATGCTCCCCAACAGTGTGCTGAGAAATTTCATCTTTACTGCAGTGGTAAAATATTGTTAGCTCATTTGATTTGAGCTGCCTTATCAGCATATACCAATATAGTCTTTAAAATCATATATTTCTTGCTTATAAGGATATCCTTTTGTAGATCGTCAGATCTTTGAATGATTACCTTATACTTCTTCCTTATCTATTTATCAAAATATTATACATTTTAATTGTTTTGTTGCATTACAGACGTCTAGAGAGAGTAGCATTTATGCTTTTGGTGATTACATCACTGTCAACATGCAGGAAACGATAGAACATCGTGTGACTCGTTCCAAGGTACTTAAGCAAAAGGTTGCACTGATTGAGGAGTTTGTCGATGGCGACGGCCAGCCGCAAGTGAATGTAGATCCGCTTATAAAGCAGGAGCTAGAGGTGGAATCTGTGGAGGTGCAGACCAAATCGAATGCCAAAAGCGATGTTAAGATGACCACGCTACATTTGCTGCCCGAGTTCCCGCATCGGCCGCGTAAGCCGCAGTGCTATAAATGCGAGCCGCTGCAGATGCCGCGCTTTCTCTACGGGCTGGGTCAACGGGTGCAGGCGGTCGATCGACAGTTATAGTGAGTAGCAATGCTTTAATGTATGTAATATGTACTAATATCTGGCATCTGGTTTTTGTCAGCTGTGAGAGCCGCGCCGCAGCTTGGGCGCACATACGCCACATGCAGTGCGAGAACGTGCTGGGCAGGGAGCTTGTGGGCACTGGCTTGGCGCTCTGCAAGCCGCTCAATGGCTGGTCGTCGATTGTGGTGCCCGATAAGGAGACACTTATAACGGATGCGGGCAAACTGTTTGTGCTTGACAGCCTACTCACACGGCTCAAGGCCGAAGGTCATCGTGTCCTTATTTACTCGCAAATGACCAAAATGATTGATCTGCTCGAGGTGAGTTTAAATCTTTGATATCCGTTTGACCCACTGCTAATGCCATGCGTGATTTTTAGGAGTATATGTGGCATCGCAAGCATCGCTATATGCGCCTCGACGGCTCTAGCAAAATTTCTGCTCGTCGCGACATGGTCGCTGATTTTCAAACCCGCGCCGATATCTTTGTCTTTCTGCTCTCCACACGAGCCGGTGGATTGGGAATTAATTTGACTGCAGCTGATACGGTAAGTTAAATTGATGAGTCTGTTGTTAGTATAACACTAAAATGGGACGACTTGCTGAAGAAGAAACTAATATTTATATGGACAGGCCTTAGCTAAGTTCAACTGAGGTCGCCTTCGTGTGGGTATATTTAGTGCCCCAACGAATGGAGAGTTTGTCTTAAGCATTTTAGCTTTCGATTATATGTCAACCAAAGCTGTTTTTCTCTATGGCATCCCAGCTTAGATTGAGTTAACTTTTTAAAACGATAAAAGTTTAATCTACAGCAAAGCTACAAAATCTTTTTTCATATCTAAGCTAAATTATTTGTTATTGTATATCCAATCGAGATGGAATTTTTGCGAAAAAAATATGCGGAGCCAGTTAACTTAACCCGTCTTGAAGCGAATCTGGTGCCATCCAGTTTGAAAAGGAAACCATTGGTTCGCCAGAAGCCAGAATTCAATGAATCTGACAAATATAATGGACTGGATGACTTGACTGACCTATTAACCAAAACCGATCGGAAAACCAACAAAATTGAAATCCAGCGCCCTGATCGCCCTAGGAAACCATCCAAGAACCTCTTAATACAGGGACGCGATGAGCCTTTAAATAACTCAGATAACTGTGTGCTGCATATCGGTTACAATGACCGTGAGGCTGCATTGGTGTGCCAGGTGCGCACTGCCAATTTCCGAGCACTGAAGCAACGGCTGTCATCAGTATTTCAGAATTACAACTGCCGCTTTCGGGCTGTGCATAGTGAGAAGCAAATCTTTAAGCAAATGGGCCTCATCCATGTGCTAATGACCTGTCAGACTGCCATGGACTTTGGCAACTTGGAGGAGCAGCTGCATCAGGTGGCACTGTCCTGCCATGCAGAAGGCTGCAGAATTGTGAGCCACGAAATGGGCGCTCTATGTTTTAGATGCCAGCCAGAGCTTATACCAGAAGTGGCCTGCAAGCTAAAGGTGTTCGGCTACACGCCGCTCCTCACAGAGCTCGGCTATTGCCCCATCGGGCCGTTGGTGAAGCTGAAATCCCCACAGCTGAGGCGCTATTCAGAGTTCCTTAAGAACCTACGGGCAGACGCAGACATCGTGAAGGTCTATGACAATGTGCAAAACTCCGTGCTGCAGTCCATGTACACCAGCTAAATTGGCAGCTGGCAAATTTATGTGTGGGCGATGAATAAAAGGGCAGCTCCTTGTTGCCGCGACTTGTATCCATTTGCTCGACTACTTGTTTATGCAATGCGCGGTCGTCGGCGTCGGCGTCAGCGTCAGCGTCGGCATTGCCATTGGCATCGATCGAGCGCTTTTCGCCATGATTTACACATTGTGATCTTTATCGCAACAATGACACTGCCAAGGCAACCACCGCAAATTCTCAGCCAAAAGGATGCAATATATATGTGTGTGTGTGTGTGTGTGTGTGCTTGTGTGTGCTGTGATATCTTCCACTGTGACTGCGGCTGCTGGGCTTCGTGTGAACTTTTTCGCTGGGTTCTTAAATCATTTTGTCACTGATTTTGATTTGTTATTTGCGCTGGCCGTCAAGTAATTTGGTGTTTGTCTCCTCGTCCATTTTATTGTTCGGTTCTCAGGCTCGAAATTGTTCTCCCAACTCGTTGTTGACTAATTCCCTGGCATTTTGGCATGGCATTGCATGGCATGGTCTTTTTATCGGGCCTTTGAGCGGCTTATCGAAGACGAATAAGCTTTAATATCTGCCATAAAATTTAAGAAAATCAATAGCCGGATTTCTTATACTCTTCTAGTGCTATGAGAGATATTTCAAAAGAAATATATTAGCTGAATTTTTTTGTATTATAAAGGAAGCTTTTATATAGGGAAGATGCATGTAAAGTTTATTGCTAAATGTCAATACATTATACAGAATTATAACAACCAATAATGCAGGCTTAACTATCTGGTATTACAGTAGAATTCATGTAGAATAAAACGCCGATTTCTAGATTTAGTGAAGCAAATTCATTAATACTTGTACATTGACTCAGTCGCATTCCCTAACAAAAGTTGAAATTTGTAGAATTTTTGTTTTACTCTGTAGTAAATTTATAAAAACCCGATTGTTTCTGTTGGTGTTCCCACACAGGCAAAGGTTGAGGGCGAAAAGTATTTGTCGTTCATGTCGCTGGTGCATACCAATGTAATTTGACCAAACTCAACTCAACTCTTTGGCATTTCACTTTACACTAACGGAAATTGTTGAGGGCCCACAAACTTGTACCAGTTACATTTAAAATGATATGGGATCAGCTTGTTAATTGTTGTTTATGCCATTTATAAACAAATTGACTTTGATTGTGGCACTGTGTTCCTTTTCGGTGGTCATTGTCATGCGCGTCTCGCTTCCACTTGGCATTTAGATTTATGACATTTTCGAAATCGTAGCAGTAGCCACAGCCTATCGTCATCTTTTGATAGTCCATCATATTTGGTATGTCCCACACGTACCTGAATTTAGTACAATACATTGGGTGTATAAAAATGTTGTCTTAAACCCAATCTGCCTGTCATATATTCAGTTGCTACTTGTAAACATCGTATAAATTTTGATTTAAAATTTTTCACTAATCTAGGGCATTCCCAGTAATTCTCTCGCCAGGCAAGTATCTCAACTGTTAGAGAGATTGCAAGCTTGTGAATAGGTTCCCATTTATTTAAAATTAGTTTTGCCAGGCAAATGAAGAAGATAATCGTTATTGTATTTATAGGAAATATGGTTGTACTGATAAGTTCAAGTGGTTACACGTGAATCTTAAAGCTTAATGTCGTATTGGCTCACCTTTATTATATTCTTTATAATTTATGGCCTGATTCTATTTTAATATATTGCTATTTATATACATATATAACATTTCATGATATTTCATAATCACCGATAACAAGGATTTCAATGTGTAGGTTTTTGTTTTATATATTTCACTACTACCATTCAACATTAAACATATTTAACTAATTCTGACCAGAATTAAAGCAGACCCACATTAAAATATAGGATACCAGCGATTCTTCTACTTACTGAAGCATTCTTACATATGCTTGTTGTGTTATTTCACTCTTGATTTTACATTGACCGCTTAATCCAATTTGATTGGACCCTATCAATTACACTTTATTTTAAAGAATAGCCCAGCCCACGATAGAATCACTCTAACGAACTTAGCAAAATTATCAGAAAATCTTATCAAATACAGTAAACTTTTTATAAATTGCAAAAAAAAAAGGTCTTCATAGATGTGGTCTTAACTACGCCTTACAAATTCAATACCATTCGGTTTGTACATAAGTTCAAAAAGAGTTTTATTAATAGGACTATAACGTGCTGTAATAAAATAAAGTAAAGTTAATAAATGCATCTAAGTTTATGCAAGCCATTCGCGAACTAGTTCAATCAATCGTTCCTTGGCTGCTCGCAATGCTGCACTGTCTGTGGGACTGATTGAGCCAGAATCGGAGCAGTGCGAGGCTTGTGGAATAATTGTAGCGGAGTCAGAGCCAACGCGGCTCCATCCATCCAAACCACCATGAGTCATATAAACATTCTCCACAGCTGGATGCTTTCCACCATACTTCTTATTTGTGGCCTGGATATATTCTTCAATTTTCGCTGAGGTGTATTGGGATCCGAATACGTCGTGACACGTATCGGTATACAGAGTTGCCGGGAAAGTTGATCCGAATGGGTGATTCTTGTTTTCAGAGGATTGGAACCAACCAAATTGTCTGCATGTTTGATAGAACCAGCCGAGGCCAGCTAAGAAGGAAAGAAAAAGGCTTATATTTAACTAACATTGTCTATTGAGGTTTTACTCACAACCATCGTAGTTATTTTTGGACCATTTGTAATAATCAACAGTTCCCTGATATCGAGTATTAACACATTCTGGTTTCCCTAGACGCCACTGTACGAACTGAGATAGTGCTGAAGCATCATCATCATCAAAACTTCGTAGAACAGAGCAATATTGGGCCAAATCATAGTTTTCTGGTCTACAAAGAAACAAAATCATATTGAAGAAGAAGAAGGAAAGGGGTTGCTTGTGTCATAGTTACTTTTGGTACTGCGCTATGCCTGCAAATATGTTTGCAATCGAGCTAAATATTTGCCACTGATCCCTTTCATTATTCTCGTCGAAACTGTCGCACAAATTSAGGAGTTTCTTGGCCTTAGCTCCCTGACCAGTCTGAAACAGATCCTCATAGTAAGATGTCGCATTATCGATGAGGTCGTAGCAATAGTCTCCTCCCAGCTGCCTGTAGGCTCTGCCAACAACTTCCATGAAATCTGAAAAATCCACTATCGCATCTAGCGGAGCACTTGAGGCCCAACTGCCGACGATTACGTCGGGGTACAATAGCTTAAACCAAACTGCCATGGATGCAGAGTAGGAGCAGCCTGAAATAACAACCTTAGAATCCTTGTACTTGTCCTCTTCTTTGAGCACCTTGATAACATTCACCACATCGGCCAAAGCTTGCTCCACGCTTTGGTACTTAAGGTTTTTGGTTGACAGGGGCCTAATGGGAAAATAGGTGAATTTTATATTAATGAATCAGAAAATTTAGCAAGTCAAGGATTTGAAGCTTACGTAATTGGAATGCTCTCGCCGAAGAATCGATGTTCAGTGTAGACCAGTGACCCATTGTGCTCCTTTGCGATGTCAACCCACAGTCCTGATGTGATGGCGCTGTAGAAGATAAGTTAGATAAGATTACTTGAATTCCTTTAAGGAACTGTCGAACTCACTTGGTCCCACACGTCCTTATTAGTGTCGTCAAAGTTGTCCAGGCTCTGGTTGAACCATCGAGTCTCCACATTTGCACGCTTGGTGCTTGGCGGCAATGGTGGCCCACGCTGAAGCTGGTTGAGTGTTTGAACAAATACTGGAATTGATATTTCATCTGAGCCTTGAGAGTTCTTGAGAGTTGCTGCAGATGCTAGGGATACTAGCAGTGCCAGAACTACTGGAAAGTACTTCATCTTGTTATATAGGTCGCAAGCTTACGAATGGTTTCCTACCCCAATACATGGCCTATTTATTCAAAAAGTTCTTTTGCCAGGGTACTTGTAAATATATGTGTTACTAGAAAAGTAAATATTTGCCCATAGCTTAATCGTAAGCCCCATTTATATGTAACTGATAGGCTTAAGTAGCGTGTGGGTCACGTTGGACAACGTTACCAAAAATGCTTTAGTTGTCTCATCCTTGTCGTTTCGTATCTTTATTGTAATGGATTATGGCGATTTCGTAATTGATTGATTTACTCATTGCTATGATATACATATATAGCTCATAGTGATAATTGTATATTACGAAAATTTATTTTACTGCGAATATTTTCTTCAACGTGATGTTTAGGAATACATATTTATTCCGAATACTAAAAATATGCAAACTATATGATATATGTCTATATCACATTCATAACTATTTAACGATTAAATGTTGGTAGCTCTTCTACAGATTCGAGATATTTTCCTCTCTTTGTTAGGTCTGTGTATCAATATCGTATATTGTACATCAGCAATGGTTATATCTAATACTAGTATTGGTGACATAGCATTTTGAAATACATTGTATATGATCTGTTAATCGAAAACTTCTTTAATAGCTATGCATATTTTATTCGATGATTCTCATATATGTATATGATTAAAATATTTTTACTTCATTTAAAAATAAAAGATGCAATTTATTGGGTTATTTTATATATTATTGTTTAGATAGGTCGCATATTAATAATCCAAAGAGTAAATATTAGCGTTGCATACAAACCCTTTAGTTTGCTGTCTAGTTTGATAAGACGTGACTGTATATTCTCAGAATATCTTCATTATTAATGGACTGATTTCTGTCACATTTTGTAGCCTATAATTTGAGCAGTTCTTAGTATTGGGGAATCACTTTACAGAGCTGATTACTTTATACTGAAGACTATCCTGAAAGTATGCTGTGCAAATGGACTTAAAATTTGTTAACCAAATATACAATTATATACTATAATACAAGCCCGTTCACATATTAAGCGTACAGCCAGATATAGTATATCGCCATAACTACTAACATTTTGTTTTAGTGACAATGTCAGCTTTAGGCAAATTTTTGATTGCCTTCCTTCCAAAATATTTGCCTTTAATATACCACTATTCCACTACAAGTACGAAGTTGTTTACTCAAGCAATATAGTTCATTTAATGTACATTAGTAGTATGTATTTGCATATTTTTAATTTCGCGGCAAATAATTGGTAGTACTTAAAGTTATGCTAGCCATTGACGCAATAGTTCAGCAATACGATTTTTGGAAGCGAGCAGTTCGGCGCTATCGGTGGAGCGGATTGAAGTTAGGTCAGGACAGTGCGACATCTTGGAAATAACCGTAGCGCCCTCTGCCACGCCATGACCAATGGCACTCCATGGATCCAGACCTCCGTGTGTCATATAGACGTTCTCAACGTTTGGTTCCAAGCCGCCAAAATCCTCATTGGTCTGGGCAGCATTTTTTTCAATCTGGTCGTTTCCGAACTTGTTGCTAAAGATATCTTTGCACAATTCAACGTAGAGAGTAGCGGGAAAACTGCTGCCAAACGGCTGATTAGAAGAACGCGACGACTGATACCAACCGTACTCGTTACAGGTCTGATAATACCAGGCTCGAGCTATGAAACAGCAAAAAGAGATCTAATCAGTGAAAGCATATTGACTAGCAATTAAATAACTTACAACCGTCAAATTTGGAAATTCCGTCCAGATAATAGTTAACGGTTTCTTGGTAGCGTGGATCAACGCAGGTTGGAGAATTCCACGCCCAATAAACGAAATTGGCAATGGCTGTGGCATCATCGTTAAAGCTCATGATAAAATCGCAATAATACTCAAGGTCTCCCGCTCTATATTAAATGGTATATAACACCTGAATATATCCTATTATATGATTCACTTACCCTTGATACTGGGCTAAGCCAGAGAAAACATTGGAAATGCTGCCGAACAAGCTCCACAAATCCAGATCGTTTTCATGATCAAAATTGCTGCAAATACGCAGCATGGCACGTGCTTCAGCCGCGCGCTTGTTCTTAAACATGGACTCCAGTTCGGCTATGCCCTTCTCTATACGATTGTAGCATTTCTCTCCTCCCAGCTCACGAAACGCTTTTCCGACTACCTCCTTGTACTCGTAGAAGTCAAGTTTGGCGAATAGCGGCGCACTGGAAGCCCAGGCACCAACCACCAAATCGGGATAGAGCCGCTTGAACCAAACTGCCATTGTGGCTGAGTAGGAGCAGCCGGACAGCACGACCTTCGAATTGCTTAGCTGTGCATTCTCCGACTTGAAGGTTTTAATAAAATTGGCCACATCGGCGAGCGCCTGCTTGACATGCAAATACTTCAAGTCCTCCAGCGACATTGTCCTATGATTATAAGATTATTATATGTTTATGTAATATATTAAAATTATACTTACTTAGTGGGTATACTTGCACCGTAGTAACGATGCTCAGTATAGATGAGGACACCTTTGTGCTCCTTGGCCAAGTCATACCAATAACCATCGTTTATCATATCCAGAGAGGCCTGCCATTCGCCGCCCAAAAATATGAATATTGGGCTGCCTTCCGTTTGGAATTCATCATTGATAAAATAACGCTAAACCAAAAGCAAATCATTAATATATATAAACCCATGTATATATTATATATTCCACTAATAGTTATACCATTTCGTAGGTTTCCTTATTGGTTTCATCGAACTGATCAAGTGGTTGTGTAATCCATTTTTCTTCCCCCTTCAATTCTCGTTTAACCATCTTCAAGGGTGGACCGCGTTGCATATCTTTCAAAGTCTTAACGAATACGGGCACATCTTTCTTCAACTCGAGGCTGATTGCCTGACTAGCCAGAGCCACCAACGCAAGGCTGACCAACTGTAGGAGCAGCATGTTGCCAAATGAAGTTCCTAACTGACCAACGTTCTACTTTTATGCAATCAAATTGTAGTTTCGTTTTTATTGATTTTCGATCAAGATATAACTGTACAGCTGATAAGAGTTCGAAGTGGTATTTCAATTGAGCATTGTGATTAGACGGGATTTTCAGTAACCCAAATCTTATCGCAAATTTATGATTTCCATTACTTTTTATAAATGTTTCTATAGTTTAACATAGATTGCATTAGTTGTTCGTGTATGCGTAACATGGCAAAACCATAGCCACGATCTAGTAGTCCCATTTAGTAAAACAGCAATTCTTAGTGCTGTAATTCTATTCAATCTTTTATTGCAAATATTACATACACTTGTAGCAAGTTACTACTTTATTATTATTATCGTCCGACTGATTAAACAATATTACTCTAGCCATTCGCGGACCAGTTCAGCTACACGTTCTTTTGAGGCTCGCATTTCCGGGGTATCATCATTACTAATCGATCCAAAGTCCTTGCAGTGCGCATGCTCTGTAAATTTAGAATCACTTTAGTAACTTTTCATTAGACTCTTATAAGCTAGTTCACCTGGTATGATGGTGGCCTGCTTCTCGTCCTGTATGCCCATTGCACGCCAGGGATCCAACTGTCCATGGCTGAAATACACATTCTCTACTTCCGGCGTAAGGCCCCCAAAGTATTCGTTTATCTCAGCCGCACGGTCCTCGATAAATGACTCACCGAACTGGGGACCATAGAGATCAGCGCACATAGTTGTAAACAGAGCTAATGGGAATTTAGTGCCAAATGGTTGCATGATGGAACTGGATGTCTGATACCAGCCGTACTCGTTACATGTCTGGTATATCCACTGACGCACTGCAATATGTAAATCAGAAATTATTAGATACTAGAAGTCGCATTGAATCAAATCACTTACTCATATTGCCGTTGTACCTTGTATCCAATAGTACTTTCATGACGGCATCGTAGCTTAAATCGTTACAAGTGCTGCCACTCGCTTTTCCGAATTCACTGAGAAGATAACTGCTTACTCCAATAAGATCAGTACTTCCAGTCATTATTTGCTGGCAGACACCTTCAATACGTCCAGAACTATAATATTGATAATATATTGATATTAGTGCAGTTCTTTCCATTTAAACTTGGCAATAACTGACTTGTGGGTCTGTACAACGTTGGCAAATATTTCGGAAATCTCGTTAAACAGCGTCCATATGTCCAAATCATTGTACACATCGAAAGGTTCACAGAGCTTCAGCAAAGCCTTGACCTCGGCGCCGCGTTTGTTGGCAAACATCGCTTCCATCTCAGCAATACCCTTCTGAATACGGCTGTAACAAGCAGAGCCACCCATTAAAGTTATTGACTCGCCCATTACCTCTTTGTATTCTAAAAATTCAGAAAGAGAAATGCTAATCCGTCAAAGCACTTTCAGAGACTACAACATACCAAAAAAGTTCACTTTAGCAACGACGGGGGCACTGGATGCCCAGCCGCCAACAACCAGATCGGGATATGTTCTCTTGAACCAGGTAACCATCGTAGCAGAGTAGGAGCCACCCACAATTATAACTTTGGAATCACTCAAGCCCTCATACGAAGCCTTCTGCGTAGTTATAAAATGCGCCAAATCAGCCAAAGCTTGTTTCACATGCAGGAATCGAAGGTTCTCATTGGACAAATCTCTAAAAAACATTAAGATTCTCATACAAATGAACAGAGTCTCTGCTCGATTAACACTCACGGCAATGGATGGCTTTCTCCGTAATATCGATGTTCAGTATAGGCTAGAAGTCCATTGTGCTCCTTGGCCATGTCGTACATGTGACCCGCTGTAATAAATCCATTGCTAATTGTCCACTCTCCACCAAGGTATATAAACATGGGACCACCGGCTTTGAAAAACACATCGTTCAACTTGTAGCGCTGAATGTCAGAATATATGATTAATGCAACTCAATTGAGAATTACATAATACTTGACTCATACCATTTGCCAAGTTCGAGTCTCAGAGTCATTAAAGTGGTCCAGCTTCTGTTCGATCCACAATGTTTGCACCTCGTCGGCTCTATTTTGGTTCGTCGGAACATAAGGTTCCTCGTGAAGTTTCTTGAATGTGCGCTCGAATATGTTTCCATTAGCCTGGCTAAGGCCTAATGCCAACAGTGTAATAATTACTCCGACTCCGTGGTGTGTCATCGTGGTAGATTTAACTTCTACTGAGGCAAAGGTTCCATTCGCATTCTGCTAATACCTGTTGCCTAGTTAAACGGCAATTCTTATCTAACAATTTATTAAAACGTTATCTACGTGTAATCATAAGAAATACTAGCACAACTATTTTTCAATCGTTGGTTTATAAGCATATTATAGTGAATACCATGTAGCCTTATCAGTTCGACAAGTCAATACATTTTCAGTCGATGGCAAGTGTGCTTTGTTTCTTCTTTTCTTCATTCGATCAGATTTTGCTACCTTTTAATAAATAATATAATTGTTATTGATAAGGTTAAGTATGTTTGACTTTCCTATTACTGATTATTGACAGCACAATTAGTTAATTGGAATCGATAATACATTGAAATTGATAATAATTGAAATTGAAATTACGAAAACTACATTACTAAAAATATGATATGTAAACTTTATTTAAGCCATTCGCGAACCAGTTCAGCTACTCGTTCTTTTGAGGCTCTCATTTCGGCGGTATCATCAATACTAATCGATCCCAAGTCCGCGCAGTGTGCATGTTCTGTAAATTGATCATCACTTTAGTCATTTTTCATTAGACGTTCATAAGATAGCTCACTTGGTATAATGGTTGCCTGCTTCTCGTCCTGTATTCCCATTGCACGCCAGGGATCCAACTGTCCATGACTGAAGTACACATTCTCCACTTTGGGCGTAAATCCACCAAAATAGTCATTTGTCTCAGCCGCACGGTCTTCGATAAAAGATTTACTGAACTGGGGGCCATAGAGATCAGCGCACATGGTCGTGTAAAAAGTTACCGGAAATTTAGTGCCAAATGGCTGAGAGGCGGAGCCTGAGGTCTGATACCAGCCGTACTCGTTACATGTCTGAAATAGCCACTGACGTCCTGTAATATGTTAAGCCCATATTAGAATACAAATTTTCAATTGTGAAATTCAGAAACTCTTACTAACTGAGCCGGAATATCTTGTGTCTGAGAGTGTATCAATCATTGCATTGTAGCTGAGGTCATTACACTTAGAAGTGCTCTCTCCAAATTCACTTAGTAAAAATTTACTTAGCCCAACAAGATCGGAACCTTCGGCCATGATCTTTTGGCAAACTCCCTCAATTTGTCCCGCGCTATTAAAAACATAATTTAATTAATTATATTAAATAAAAGTAATATATAACAATTTTATGCATACTTATGTGTCTGTACCACGCCGGAAAATATATCAGATATTTCACTGAAAAGATTCCAAACGTCCAAATCGCTGTACACATCGAACGGTTCGCAGAGCTTTAATAGAGCCTTTACCTCACTGCCACGTTTATTGGCAAACATTGCTTCCATCTCCGCAATACCATTCTGAATACGGTTGTAACAGTCAGATCCACCCATTAAAGCTATTGACTGTCCAGCAATCTCTTTGTACTCTGCACATATACAAAAAGATTTTTATGCTTTATAAGAGACTCAACAGGCCCACACTTACCAACAAAGTCGACTTTGGCAAAGAGAGGGGCACTGGATGCCCAGCCACCAGCAACCAAATCGGGATATGTTTTCTTAAACCAAGTAACCATGGCAGCAGAGTAGGAGCCACCCACCATTATGACTTTGGAATCACTCAAGCCCTCATACGAAGCTTTCTGCGTGGTTATAAAATGCGCCAAATCGGCCATAGCTTGTTTGACATGCAGAAACTGAAGGCTATCGTTGGACAAATCTCTAAAAAAATTGAGATTCACATAAAAAGGAATAGAGACTCAACACTATTAACACTCACGGCAATGGATGGCTTTCTCCGTAGTATCGATGTTCAGTATAGGCTAGAAGTCCATTGTGCTCCTTGGCCATGTCGTACATGTGACCTTCTGAAATGCGACCCTTGCTAATTGCCCACTCTCCACCCAGGTATATAAACATGGGACCACCAGCTTTGAAAAACACATCGTTTATCATATATCGCTGAAAAAGAGATCATATGATCAAAGTAACTCAATTTATTATTACATAATACTTGACTCATACCATTTGCCAAGTTCGAGTCTCAGAGTCATTAAAGTGGTCCAGCTTCTGTTCGATCCACAATGTTTGNGTAACCATCGTAGCAGAGTAGGAGCCACCCACAATTATAACTTTGGAATCACTCAAGCCCTCATACGAAGCTTTCTGCGTAGTTATAAAATGCGCCAAATCAGCCAAAGCTTGTTTCACATGCAGGAATCGAAGGTTCTCATTGGACAAATCTCTAAAAAACATTAAGATTCTCATACAAATGAACAGAGTCTCTGCTCGATTAACACTCACGGCAATGGATGGCTTTCTCCGTAATATCGATGTTCAGTATAGGCTAGAAGTCCATTGTGCTCCTTGGCCATGTCGTACATGTGACCCGCTGTAATAAATCCATTGCTAATTGTCCACTCTCCACCAAGGTATATAAACATGGGACCACCGGCTTTGAAAAACACATCGTTCAACTTGTAGCGCTGAATGTCAGAATATATGATTAATGCAACTCAATTGAGAATTACATAATACTTGACTCATACCATTTGCCAAGTTCGAGTCTCAGAGTCATTAAAGTGGTCCAGCTTCTGTTCGATCCACAATGTTTGCACCTCGTCGGCTCTATTTTGATTTGTCGGAACATAAGGTTCCTCGTGAAGTTTCTTGAATGTGCGCTCGAATATGTTTCCATTAGCCTGGCTAAGGCCTAATGCCAACAGTGTAATAATTACTCCGACTCCGTGGTGTGTCATCGTGGTAGATTTGACTTCTACTGAGGCAAAGGTTCCATTCGCATTCTGCTAATACCTGTTGCTTAGTTAAACGGCAATTCTTATCTAGCATGTTATTAGAACATTATCTACGAGAAATCATAAGAAATACTAGCACAACTATTTTTCAATCGTTGGCTTCAAGTCATACTGCAGTGAAAACCATGTAGCCTTATCATTGCTTCTTCTTCTCTTCATTTGATCAGATTTTGCTACCTTTTAATAAATAATATAATTATTATTAATAAGGTTAAGTATATTTGACGTTCTCAATAATGATTATTACCACCACAATCAGTTAATTGGAATCGATAATATTGATGTTTTAAAAATTGAATTTATATTTTTGCTTATATTGCTTAAATACATAGCAATTGTTTAAACAAAAGAAATTCATTTCATATTTTGCTAATATTTATATATTAGGAGACCATTTAAGGTTATAAAGACAAAAAGCAAATTCTATTTTATCCATTCACGGACCAGTTCGGCAACTCGTTCTTTTGAGGCTCTCATTTCGGCGGTATCAGTTGGATTGATCGAATTGAAGTCCTTGCAATGCGCATACTCTGTGAAAAAAAAAGAAAATATTTTTTCATTAAAAATTACATTCTTATGATTTTATTTAGGTAGCTCACTTGGTATAGTGGTAGCCTGCTTCTTGTCCTGTATGCCCATTGCACGCCAGGGATCCAAATCTCCATAGCTGAAGTACACATTCTCCACTTTCGGTGTAAGACCCCCAAAGTATTCGTTTGTCTCAGCCGCACGGTCTTCGATAAAGGATTTACTGAACTGGGGGCCATAGAGATCAGCGCACATGGTCGTGTAAAAAGTTACCGGAAATTTGGTACCAAATGGTTGAGAGGCGGAACCTGAGGTTTGATACCAGCCGTACTCGTTACATGTCTGGTATATCCATTGACGCACTGTAATATGTTAAGCTCTTGTTAAAAAACACATTTTCAATTGTGAAGCTCAGAAGCTTACTAATTGAACCTGAATATCTTGTGTCTGAGAGAGTGTCAATTGTGAAATTGTAGCTGATGTTATTGCATTTAATATGATTGTCTTCAAATTCACTCAATAAAAATTTGCTAAGTCCAACAAGATCGGAACCTTCGGCCATAATCTTTCGGCAAGCTCCCTCGATTCGTCCCGCGCTATTCAAAAATAATTTAACTAATTACTATTAATCAAAGTAATACATAACTATTTTAGGCATACTTATGTTTCTGTACCACGCCGGAAAATATATCAGATATTTCACTGAAAAGATTCCAAACGTCCAAATCTCTGTACACATCGAACGGTTCGCAGAGCTTTAATAGAGCCTTTACCTCACTGCCACGTTTATTGGCAAACATTGCTTCCATCTCCGCAATACCATTCTGAATACGGTTGTAACAGTCAGATCCACCCATTAAAGCTATTGACTCTCCAACGATTTCTTTGTACTCTATTAAATATAAAAATTTGTATTCTTTATGAGAGACTCAACAGGTCCACACACTTACCAACAAAGTCGACTTTGGCAAAGAGAGGGGCACTGGATGCCCAGCCGCCAGCAACCAAATCGGGATAAGTTCTCTTGAACCAAGTAACCATCGTAGCAGAGTAGGAGCCACCCACAATTATAACTTTGGAATCACTCAAGCCCTCATACGAAGCTTTCTGCGTAGTTATAAAATGCGCCAAATCAGCCAAAGCTTGTTTCACATGCAGGAATCGAAGGTTCTCATTGGACAAATCTCTAAAAAACATTAAGAGTCTCATACAAATGAACAGAGTCTCTGCTCGATTAACACTCACGGCAATGGATGGCTTTCTCCGTAATATCGATGTTCAGTATAGGCTARAAGTCCATTGTGCTCCTTGGCCATGTCGTACATGTGACCTTCTGAAATGCSACCCTTGCTAATTGCCCACTCTCCACCCAGGTATATAAACATGGGACCACCAGCTTGGAAAAACACATCGTTTAACATATATCGCTGAAAAAGAGATCATATGATCAAAGTAACTCAATTGATTATTACATAATACTTGACTCATACCATTTGCCAAGTTCGAGTCTCAGAGTCATTAAAGTGGTCCAGCTTCTGTTCGATCCACAATGTTTGTACCTCGTCCGCTCTATTTTGGTTTGTCGAAGAATAAGGTTCCTCGTGAAGTTTCTTGAATGTGCGCTCGAATATGTTTCCATTAGCTTGGCTAAGGCCCAATGCCAGCAGTGTAATAATTACTCCGGTTCCGTAGTGTGTCATCGTTGTAGAATTAATTTCTACCGAGTCGAATGCATAATGTAAGCACCATTTATACCTGTTCAACGGCAATTCTTATCGGGTACCTAATTAAGCTATTATCTACGTTAAATAAATTGCAGAAACAGTTTTATAGTAATAGTAACACACTAATTTCCAATCGTTGACTTAACCATGCTTAGCTAATTATTCCGTGGAGCTCTATCAGCTCAGCAAATCTGGACATTTGTAAAGTAGTTTATTTAATTGATGCATTGCTGCTGTTCCTAAATAAACAGATTCAAGTGATAGCTATTCATAAAGCCAGACACTATCTATAAAGCGGAAATGGAATTTAGACAGGAGAAAAGTCTATATGTGAAATTTTAGAGCACACAACACGTGATGTAAATTCAGTTCAATATATTCAATTAGTTCCTTCACTGCCGGATGTTGGATCTGGAAAGCAACCCCTCTGTTTAGCTGCTGCACACTTGCACTCTGCGCACGTCGAATGTAAGGCGTGGTCTCCTACTCATAGAAGATAGCCGAAAGCAGCAAAGGTCTCGAATTCGTGGATCATTGAATAGACTTGGTAGAAATTAATATGCAATGCAGACAACTGTGGCATATCAAAAGGATAGCGAAAGGATGTTCGTGTTGATTACTCATTTGCATATTCATTAGATAAGCATTGATGTCTATCGATCAACAAGATATTATTTCATATTCAAGTCTATGATTATAATATATAGCATTTATGCATTAGCTAAAGCCCTATATGTAGAAAGTACTCTGGAATATTAATACTACTTTTATTGTTATTATTATTATGTTAATTGTACTTCTCTGTCTTGCAGGTTATCTTCTACGATTCAGATTGGAATCCCACCGTTGACCAGCAGGCCATGGATCGAGCCCATCGCCTGGGCCAGACCAAACAGGTGACAGTCTATCGGCTCATCTGCAAAGGCACCATCGAGGAGCGAATTCTGCAGCGGGCACGCGAAAAGAGCGAGGTAAGAAAACCACTAGGGCCCAGGAAACCGCAAAACCCTATTCAGAAATACAAACAAAAAGCAACCGCTTGGAGTTTCTTCTTACGTCTGTCATATATTAGGCACGTGCGCGGACTTCCCCCTGCCTGATTTGATGTTGCATGGGGCATTGTTGCGCCTTATTCAAAATGTTTGAATGAAACTCGAGCCGCACGCATGAAACACTTGTACACGATGTGCATTGTTGGGGCAGCTATAAAGGCTCGGGTAAACCGATACCGGAAATTAATTATACAATTGGTTAGGCGACATTTCGGTTACGCCTTTAAATTCTCTATAGAAGCAACCCATTCAGGGTATGTTTTTCTTCATTTCTCTCTATTCTTTTCTTGAGCTCTGCATTTATTAGTTTAATTGCTCCGCTCCTGATTATCATATTAAAGTGCTTAGGCCGCCAGAACGGAAGCTAAGTAAGTCTCAGCACAGTCCCAGGCGCTACTCAATTTTTACGCGTTTCATTTCATTTCCTGGGGCGCTGCTCTTTTTATATTTTCGGCATATTTATGCATATTATTTCTATATAATTATATTTGATTATTTTCAGATACAACGCATGGTTATAAGTGGCGGCAATTTCAAACCCGACACCCTCAAGCCCAAAGAAGTCGTCTCACTGCTTTTGGATGATGAGGAAATCGAAATGAAATGTAAGTAGTGCGAGTAAATCAGGAGAAGTAACTGATGTATATGTATTTGTTTAAAAAACAATCTAAAATCGAAGACTTAGTAGTAGATTGAAATAGTATACTACTTTTCTCTCCTCATAAACAGTTGAAGTTCATTGCGTAAACCTTTATTAAAATATTTGATTTGGCTATCTCTTCAACACAGATCGCCAAGAAGTGAAGCTGCAGGTTAAAGAAGAGACTCCCTCCACCTCCTCACCCATCCCAACAGCAACAACAACAGCGGCAGCTGCTGGTGCAAATGAACGTAAACGACGCAAGCCAAATAAGGTGAGTAAACACACCAAAAGAGAATAACCGCTAATTGCTTAATTAAAACCAAAATTTGTAGTAAGAGAAAAAAATAAACGCTATGCAGATCGACATGCGTAAAGCGGCAGAGACTTCCGCTCGAAAGTCAGACTTTCTTTTCGATCTAAAGCAGAAATCGTGCACTTCAATTGTTCTTTTACGCATGATCCAAGTTTGCTGTTAATGGCCACTTATTAGACCAAATTTACACTTGTTACACGCAGCGACAAGTTTTCCAGTCTCAATGAAAGTAAATGATCTTTTAAGTGAAGTTCAAATTGCGTCTCGGCCATATACAGCTGCAGCTGTGATGGAATGGAAGGGGTTAAGTGAGACAGCTTAAAGTCTGGCTCTTTTGTTGTTCTTACTTGGGCACTGCATGGTGGTCATGGTCACGTGATTCATGCAACAACAACAATAACAACAGCAGMAACAGCAGCAACAACGACAATTCAATTTGCTACAAGACTCAACTCATCGTTGAGCTGGTCTTGGTCTGTTACGTAGCGTGCTTTGAACTTGCTGCCAGCTTTGGGCATATACGTAGTGGATCTGTTGTTGCTGCTGCTGCTGCTGCTGCTGCTGCCGCCGTTGCTGCTTCTGCCTATATTCATTCATCCAAGTGTTGTGTTCCCTACGACCATATATACATATAAAGCAAACACTTTGCTTTAACCAACTTGGCTCTGGCTGTCTTCGAAGTCTTGAAAAACAGTTTCAAGTGCCTTGTGCCTTGCTGCCTTGTGGGCTCTGGTGGGCTTCGGTGGGCTTGTGGGGTGCTGTTCGACTCTTTTCGTTTTGGTTTCGCTAAATGATTTTGTGCGTTCAATGGAACACTGATTATGGTCTGTTGCCTCTTTGTCTTTTCATTTCTCTCTCCGTTTTTGGTTAGTTCTACTCGTAGCTCTCCTAACCAAAGTCTCGCTGTGGGGTACGGCAACAGCGGCAGAGGCAGGGGCAGCGGCGTGCACTCAAGTTCATATACCACCATAGCGCATACAGTCGGCATGTAAGCGCGTTTAATGGCACGCAGCCATGTTTTTCTTCTGCTTCGTCGTTCTTCTGCAGCTACAGCAACTACAGGCTGCGCTGTCAATGGGGAAGTTCAAGTTTCAGTTTCTAGTATTGAAAATACCCAAGTCTGAGGTTAGGTATCATTGAGACATAGCGTAAAGCCAAACGATTCATTCGAAACAGATTGCAGCACATTTATGTCTGATTGTTTATTAAGTTTGCAACGGTATTTGGGTCTGACATTTACTTTGCTTAGTAGGCACTAGTACATGCTCCATTGGTTTAAGTGGGCTGTCATTAAATGTCGTCGACCTATTTAGGAAGCCACGTGGAAAATAAATACTTAGAGATTTCTTTGTATGTTTAGGCATTGTAACCGTTAACTATTATATTAAAGGCTACAATTCTTTAAATTAGAAAACGAACTCTGGCAGAGTCCAATTATATTATGTAGTTACCTTGAAACAACTTTAATCCTACTTTAAATAAAATCAGCTACTGTGCTGCCTATCTACTTAATGGCCGTCGAAATCTTTGCAAATTCTATGCAAATTACTTGAGTGCTACCCTAGTGCCCAGTTCCTGAAGCATGGCTGTTAAAGCGTCCTACTTTGGGGCTGACCGGCCCTAGAATCTGAAGCAATAACTCAAGTCTCGGTTTGGCATGAATTATTTTAATGCCACACAAACTCAAACGAGAACATGAAGAACTCGAAGAATGAGAAGAAGAACAACAACGGGGACTGGCATAAATTATAAATGAAACATTTTGTAGATCGGTTAGTTAGGGTGGACCGCAACGAAACGTATAGATAAAGAGACGATATTCGTTGTTATCTTATTTCCGTTGCTCATAAAAATGCTAATCGTTTTTATTGTTACATTCAAAATTAAACACATTTTTATTGTATTTGTTTTAGGATGCTAATATGGGCGGCATTACGATTCCGGCAGACGAAGTCGATGGTGCACAATGCAGCCCAGCTGCCAAGCGCATTAAACAGGAGTTTGAAGATAGCAGCATTGACATGGGCAGACCGTCATCCACATCCAGCGGCGGCACAGATACCAACAACCAAATACTCGGCCAAGAGACTTATGTGCCCGGTGCGACGCGTGTGCGAAGCCAACAACAACAGAAACAGTCACAATCGGCCAACAATTCCGATAATGAGGCTTTGGTAGTGGACGGCGATTGTCCATCGGGAATGTCTCAAACTGATTCCATGAGTAAGTACTATGAATGCTCATTACTTTGTATTATGGTACATATTAGGGCACATAATACCTTGTGTCAAATAAGTACCCGGAAATTAGTAATATATTTATGGAATGACCTTAACAGGTGATAAATTATTGAAATGTTATATAAAAATATATAGAACCCAAAGTTGATATGGTATAAATATAACCATATTCCTTTAAACACATATTCCTTTATTCATCACATTTGTTACTTTCATATATATATATATACATAAATATTAA